ACTGTGTTTAAATTGATAAAAGCTATGCGATGTTTTTAAATTGAGCCTTCTGAAAAGTGTTTTAGAGGCCCTTTTTCAGACTGACGAATTGTGGAATTGCACACGTTGTTGCCAAACCAATGCAATAAAGAAAAAAAAAATTCCAGGTTTGTGGAGGGTGTTGGAGTGTCTTCCTCGCATATAGAGTCTGTTGAAGCTGGGTAGGTTCGATGCCCGCCATACGCATTTTTTTTTTTTTATTTCCCTTCTTTGAAAACATACGATTTACAGCATTTTTTTTTCGATATGAAAACACGTTTTGCTACCCTTGCCGCGTTTATTACACCTGCTTTTAGCCCTTGCTGGCTAGTGCAGGGAACACAGTTGATATGGCTAAGGGCCTATGGTTTCTTGTAATTCTCAAGTTCAGGCAGCCACCTTAAAACAGCCATTTATTTAACGCTGCGTAATACGTCACAGCCGTACACCTCAACGGCGCCAGATGACGTACTATCGGGGAAAAATGAAATGCGAACAGAGGAGCGCGTGGCTCGCGGTACAGGCTGCGCCACCTGGAAGTGAGCCTAGGGGCTAGGCTGCGTGGCCTACTCCGATGTGTTCACGCCCTTCGCTCTGCGCTCCCCAAGCTTTGGCAGTACGCCTCTCAGTGCGCTGAAAGTTATCACCGCTATCTTTGCTCGCTCGGCGAGTGCGGCGAGCTTCTGCGCACCGCACGCGCTGAGCCAGCAAAGATAGCGGTGATGCTTGCAGCGTACTGAGAGGCGAGCTGCCGAAGCTTGAGGAGCGCTGAGCGAGGGGCGTGAACACATCGGAGTAGGCCACGCACCCTCGCCCCTAGGCTCACTTCCAGGTGGCGCAGCCTGTACCGCGAGCCAAGCGCTCCTCTGTTCGCATTTCATTTTTCCCCGATAGTACCTTGAATGACAGCCACCCAGGCGGCACACATTATTGCGCCAACATTGGCGTCGGATCGGAGAAATCGGTCGGATATCAATCTCATACTGCCCATATTGGCACTGGATCGTAAAGATCGGGCCAGTATTACTGTGCTTTGGCCGATGTCGATCGAACATCACTTGGGCTGTCCAACGCCACGCTGATATACAGTATCCAGAGTCCTTTTCCGGTAATTTGTCGAGTCTGAACCGGCTATATCGACCGGTATTAGGAATTCTTGACCGTTTTTAAAACGATACCGATAAATTGTCGGGTCTTAACTGGCTATATCGGCCGGTATTAGGAATTCTCGACCGTTTCTAAAACGATACTCCATCGGTCAATTGCGCCGGCCAATCGCGGCGTCCGTCGCTATTGCAACGGGGCCGCGCCGAGGGCGCGCCGGGCCATCAGCGGCTGGAACTAAGGTGTTCCGTACAAACAAACTAAAAAAAAAACTATTTTTTTTAAATTTTATTGGAGATTAGTGCAAAACGGGGAGCGCGTGATGTTTTATAACATTTTTAGTTTACAACGTTTAGCGGCACAATTAATATTGTTTTTATACAACCATGTTTCAGCACTGATTTTAGGCAGCGCGTCCTAACCTAGGCGCATCCTAACTTCGGCAGTAATTCGCGGCGCGTCCGCGTGGGAGTCGGTGGAGGCACCCTTGAAGCCCCTTCCATCGTATCTGTTTCGGCGCCAAAATGGCCAATTGAAGCCAAAATAGGAGTCACGTGCCGTTCCTCGAGTTGCCGGAGCGGGAGAAATGGTGGCGTCGCCATCCCTATTAGCTGGGTTCTCGATTACAGATCAATGCCACTTTTGTAACGAGATCTACACTGGCCCAGGTTGAGCAGTTTCGGGTGGCTTTTAAAGAGCTGGTCTGCGCAAGCGCGAGGAGCAATGACGTCGCAGGCCGCACAGCTGGCGCGCCGGAGCCACCGCCTCGCGTTCTCTGCCGCCACCGCGCGCGCCTCGCCGGTCTGCACATTCGAGAGGAGTGACGTCATAGCCGGGGCAGACGCTCTGGTGCCGCCGCGTGCCCAGCTGTCCACCTCCGGTGCGCAGTAGCCAAGTCTGAGGCTGCAATGGAGCCGCTTCATCGCGCCTCTCATTTTGTGCGCATAAGCTCACGGTACGCATATCCCGGCATAGTCGGGCTAAGCCACCGCAATTTTTCAGCGCAGGCTCTACAGCCGTTTGCCAACTAAGTGGTTCTAGGAACGTTGGCTTGGCCCCAAGACCACTGACACCGCAGCGGCAGCGGCCATGTTAACCGATATTCCCCCATCTCCGCCCAGCCTCGAATGATATCGCAGATTCTGGTCCATTTTTAAAACGATCGGTAAACGATATTCGCCGAATACTCGGCCGTGATGCAAAACACGAAACTGGCTTAATATTGCGAGCAATATTTCCCCGACACTGTCTCAGTGTCGGCGTGCTGCCTGGGCAGCTCTTCGGTGGTCCAACCGTCGCATACATAGCGGCGTAATGCAGCTACGTATGCGACGGCAGCGGTGTTGATGTTGAAGTAAGGTGGCAACGAAGACGGCATGATGAAGGTTTTTCCACGCCACAACCAGCGAAGCAAAAGAAAGCTGCCGAAATACCAAACGGAGCGCCAGCACCGCTGCACTGTCAGACATTTTCGCTGCTCCGAGGTGCCACTGCGAGCTCAATAAATCATTTGCTCTATCTCCCAAGTGCCCCGTCCTGCGCTAAAAGAATCATGGAAATGGTGTTCTAAGCAAATTTTATTGACATCATTACACTGGGACGCAGGAAGAAGCAACGACATCAAAGCATACTACGGTACAGATTTACACGTCTTTCGCGTAGGGTAAGAAATCTTGTCGATCATCGTTGCAGGAACTCCTGTTCTCCAAGCACCTGAAGCTCATTTTCTAAATGCTGGACTACCATAACATATGTATCTTTAATTAGTGGGTATTTCGTCCGTATTCTGCGACCCTGCCATATTGCGTGGCAGCGTGACCTCCATAGGACGAAGCGTCCAATGGAAAACACTAGATTCGCGTAACTGCTACCCTGTTGGAAAATATCGATGATGGAAAGATGATGGAAAAGGCTCATACAAGCGTAACCGTAATATGGGACATCCTATACAAGCGAAAAGGCAGCTCCAGTATAGTGGATTACGGCGGAAAGATACAGGTAGGCGGAACCATACAAGCGTGTCGTATTATGGGACATCCTATACCGGCGCAGTGGATTATGGCGGAACCATGTAGGCGGACGGAACCATACAGGGATAACGTAATATGGGACATCCTATACCAGCGAAAAGGCGATACCGGCATGTTGGAGCCATACGGCTCCAACATGGTGGTTTTGCCTTTTCACTGTTGTACACGGCAATTTAGTTTTAAGCTTTACATATATGTTTAGGAAGGTCGTGAAAGCTAAATTAATGCGATTTGTGCAGGCGAGTTATATGGCCAGGCGTACGTAGTATAGGGACCTAGTCGTAACGATCAGTCAGATAATTAAATACAATTTGTTAATTAACTTTTTAATTAGTGAAAATGAAACTATGGTTTCTATTGGAAACTTGCTGAGTCACTGAAAACCACAAAATCAACTCTTTTTAGAAGGATATAATGCAGGGGTAGCATTTTACGCGTTCTGTAAAAATGCTTTATTTGGACGAGTTTCTAGGTTTCAGTTTCTTATCAGAGCTCATCTTTGCGCCCACAGTCCTGTTCCCCAGGGGCTTAGACGCGCAACACACGTGCGCCTTGCTTCCCTCCATCCTACGAGGGAGGCGAGGGGGCGGCTTCGCACTGCGGCCACCGGGCAGCAGGACCGTAGGTGCAAAGATGCGCTCTGGTAAGAAACCGAAGTCTGGAAACGCGTCCAAATTGACCATTTTTTTAGAACACCATAAAATGCTGCTCTTGTCTTATATCTTCACAAAGAAAATTGATTTAGTGTGTTTTGATGATGCTTAGAAGTTTCTAATTGGAACCATGGGTCTATTTTCACTGATTAAAAATTTCAGGAACATACTATACTTAAGAGAGAGGCTGAAGCGGTTTTGTATTTGAGAAAACACTTTTAAATCTTCTTCATTTGACCTCCAGAATCTCAAATATCAAAATTATTTGCTAATTTAAATAATCGAGGCTGCATAGAGTCATTTTTCAAGCGCATTGAAAGCACTTCCCTAGAGAGCGACGTCACAAGAGCAGCTTTCAAAATCTTTGTTCACGCATCTTCAGCGCCTATGAAAGCTAAGCACGCACATGCTATTTTTTAAAGGGGCAGAAAAATGTGTCACGACTGGTGCCAATGCGGGAGAATATACCTAGAAAACTTGCGACTGGACGCGCGGCCCTTAAGCGAGACACACTTGGCGGCTGAGAGGTCTTCTTACGATGTCACTATTGGTAGGATGTTTTTTTTTTGTGTTTTCTCACGTTTAGTTATATCTTTGTGGAAAACAAACGGGATATTCAGATTCGCGGGACAAAAACATGCGAGAATTAACCTCCATCTAGTTTTCTGAAAGAAGACTGGCACATCTCTGTAATAAGCCGACTGATCATTTCAAATTAGCCTTTTATACTATGCCGCCCTGGCCATATAACTCGCGTGTACAGACTGCGTAAATGTAGCTTTTACGGCTTTTTTTAAAAAAAATCTGTAAAATATACAAAAAAAAACACTCTGTAGAATGTCCCCCAATATAATATGATTGTATGGTTCCTTTCCCGCTTGCATTGTTCAAGAAAGACTTGTGGATATCCAGCGTTTCATTGGAATGCTGGATGTCAATGAGTCTCTACGTCAGTGAGTGGTTTCAAACAATTATGATGTTTGCACACCAGTAAGCTCTTATCCGAGGCTCACCAGGAGCACTAAGAGCAGAGGCAAAATGTCGTGACCTGGTAAATTTGGTTGCAGGTATTTATTTTTAGAAGAACTGCATGCAGCAAAGCTTAACTTTGCTCAAAAGAAGATAATTAAAAATTCAATACTGAACAATGGTGTCCCTTGAGCTGTCAGACCAAACTCCCACTCTTGTCACTCAGGAGTTCCTAACTTGTGCGTAGAGGATCAGCACAACCCAGATTTGTGCTGCACGCGCACCTGCAATATAAAAGTTGAAAAAACATGAGATGAAATATGAGACGTTTACAATTCTCTGTAATGAGAAAATACAGTACAGCTCTCGAAGAGGAAGATGGGAGGGTATGCCCCTCCTTCCCCTCCCCTCCTCCTCTTCTGCTCCCTCCCATTTAGGGGGAAATTTCCTTGAATTTAGCGGGAAAATTTCCCCACTAAATTTAGCGGGTTAAGTTTCGCACTAAATTTAGCGTGGAAATTGATGTCACATGACCTCAACACAAATGCAGTTTTTCCGCTAAAAGTAGCGGGGAAAATGACGTTGCATGACCGTGTCACGTCATCCATAAAAAAATTCAGTTTCTCAGCTAGACTTAGCGGAAATATTAACGTCACATGACCACAACATTAATTCAATTTCCTGTCAAGTTTAGTTGGGCGGTTACGCCGACAGCGACGCCGCGAAACGCGGAAACGGGTGCTAACAGCTGCGCTAAAAACTAAATGCATCAGGTGAAATAAAGTGAACATTAGATGTACTGTAAGAAAAAGAAGAAAATCTAAGATACCGTTCTCAGATCCTTCCTTTTGTCCGTTCTCAAATGTTTTGATATCAAGAAATGTTTATCTCTTTATTCATACCCAGAGAACCCCTCCCAGTTTCAGCATGAATGCAATAAATCAATGCAGACTAGATCTAGTAAACTATAATGCACATGAAAATGAATGTTTGCCACATAGTCATGTATCAGTCAGTGGCTCAGATCTCAAAATACATTTGTATTGAGGAACATTCTTGAATAAAATTTCTGGGCTTCGAATTCAACAGTTTGTACTTCCATAAGGAACACTGTATGGCACTGATTTTTGTTTTTGTTTTTTGTGACACATCAGAAACAGCACAACACTGTCATCCTTGCATACCTAACAAGAATTTGTATCTTTTTTTTTTAGCATGGCATGTGCTATTCTAATGCCCATACAGCCTCCTTTAACAAAATTTCCTTTGTATAGCTTTTTATTGGTTCTTATTTAGCTCGCACGACAGATTCGGTACCTTGAATTCTCACTCGGCATCAACAGTTCTATATATTAATGTAAAAGCGAAAGACAAGATGTATGGACTTGAGTACGGTTCAACAAGCACAGATGTTGAGAAAAGTACTGAGGAAAACTCAAATGTCAAAATAAAAATAAGCTGGAATGTGGATACATTTATGGACATGGTCATGAATACAGTTAGCAGATTCAATATAAAGAATATGTGTTAGACGTACGCTCAAAGAAACCTGTTGCATCATTATTCATTCAAATTACTTTGCAGAACCCAGCGCTGCAGTCTCAGGTGGGAGTTCGCTGGATGAGTCTACTGAAAATGAGTGTAGACGGAAAAAGCAGTTTGATCTGTGATAATGAGCATTACATAAGTGATATGTCATTATTACTGTTACAGTGCCGAATGTTCCAAACTGTCAGTCGCATCATTCTGTGAATTCCCTCCGTACATTACAGGGTTTGGCTCTTTCGAATGCTTTGCGAGAAAAATATTGAACTGGAAATATCTAGAGTAGTTCTAGAAAAACTATTTCCAGAATCTTATCTCAGCATCGCAAAGAGTATAAAAAGTTTCTAAAGACAAGGTTAGTACAGGAGTTGGATAAACTAAATACTTTGTTTTTCGAAACCATCTTGCCGTACTAAACATATGAAGTTCCCCTAGGTAGAGCTAGTCATTACGGATGATTGTGCCCATTGCATACCATAAAAATTTTATTTGCGACCTACAATATTTACAAACTCAATTACTCTGAATAAGTGGACCCCTTGGCATTAAAGATTGGCCCCACCATGACTGTCTGCCAACATCTACATAATAATTTTCATGAACCTATGTATTTCAAGAAAATATTTGGTGTGAGCTGCTTAAAACACAATAGCACTTTTTAACAAGTGCTGATTGTTGGGCAAGTTGGTACGGTACGTTAGAAAACATAATTGCGCTTTGAAGACGGGGACATAGGAAGGACAGACACCACCGAGTGCTAACTTTCAACTGATTTAATTCAAGAACCTCAGCGTAAAAACTCACTGTGTCACCGCACCACATCTCAACCAATCCGTGGCCCTGCCACGGACCGCAAGTACGCCAACTCCTTATTCGCCAAGTCAATTGACGCCACACTGACACAACATGTGCCAGAACTATTTATAGCATCAGCCTCCATAATCTCTCTAACAGTCATATCTTTGTGCCTAGCAAGAACAGTAGACAAAGCAAATAATGGTTTGCACTCGCAGGGATGATCTGTCGTGTCATTGTCATGACTGCGGGTGCAAACAATTATTTGCTTCGTCTACTGTTCTTGAGAGGCACAAAGATAGGACTGTTAGCGAGATTATGGAGGCTGACACTATAAATAGTTCCGGCACAAGTTGTGTCAGTATGGCGTCAATTGACTTGGCGGATAAGGAGTTGGCGTACTTGCGGTCCGTGGCAGAACGGATTGGTTGACATGTGGTGCGGTGACAAAGTCCGTTTCTACGCTGAGGTTCTGGAATTAAATCAGTTGAATGTTAGCGCTCTGTTGTGTCTGTCCTTCCTATGTCCCCGTCTTCCAAGCGCAATCATGTTTTCTACCACACTTTTTGACACTAATAGAAAGCCTGTAGTGGGCCGCAACTTAAGCAGTTTTCACTTCATTATGAAGAGCAATTACACATATGTGAACCATGAATATAGGCCTGCACTGAATTTTTTTCTTAAGCTGAATGTGCTATGCTCTGTTTACTATATAAATCTTTGCAAAGCTGACAATGTGCAAGTTCCTGTTTTTTTATATTTCACATGTCCCGACTGCTGGGTGTGGTAGGGACATAAGATTGATGACACCAACGAAACACAATGATTATTTTAAGAATTTGTTTGGGTAAAGCACGAACAAGGCGATCTGCGGGAAGTTATTTCTGTGACACCGTCGAACCTACATCCGCGGGCTTTAAGTTCACATGTTAATCATGTCTGCAGACTCCTTTTTGTAATTGGAACTCCATCCAACCCAAGATTTCAATATGTTTTTTTGCATTTTAGGCTTAGTAGTGCTTTTGCTGTTCTAGTAATAGGTAAGAAAAATGCTTATTTCAAGTGGCATACCTAACACCTGGTGGCACGAGGACTCCCGTCGTGACGCTGATCGAAAGTCATAGGCAGGGAGATACTGCGACGCTCTTGTTGCTGGAATTATCTCCCCCTTGGTCCTGGCCAGACCACAGAAAAAGATTGAGTCCAAGCTTGTGGCCACTAGGATCTCCAGATCTTGAGGCACCCAAGTAGCTGAAAATAAAAACAAATCACCATCAAGTACTTGGCAGAGCTACATTAGAATGGCTAGCATATTCTTTCGTGATCAGCACATAGATCCTCTTATTTTAGTCATTGTCACCCCCCAGGACAAGGCCATGTAGGCGTTAAAATGATGGGTACCGAACTAAGGCGAATGATCAAATGCATTCATTTAACCCTCTTTCGCCCCAACCTGAGAGACTTCTGTCAAATATTCACATTCAACTGTAAAGACTACAAATAAAACTACTACTGCAATGCAGAGCCGTATAGTCTGTTCTCAAATGTTTTGATTTTAAGAAATGTTTATATCTTTATTCATACCCAGAGAACCTCTCCCAGTTTCAGAATGAATACAATAAATCAATGCAGACTAGACCTTGCAAACTATAATGCACATGAAAATGAATGTTCGCCACATAGTCATGTATGAGTCAGTGGCTCAGATCTCTAAATACATTTGTATTGAGGAACATTCTTGAATAAAACTTCTGGGCTTTGAAATCGACAGTTTGTACTTCCATAAGGAACACTGTATGGCACTGATTTTTTTTGTGACACATCAGAAACAGCACAGCAGTGTCATTCTTGCATACCTAACAAGAATTTGTATTTTTTTTTTTAGCATGGCATGTGCTATTCTAATGCTTATACAGCCTCCTTTAACAAAATTTCTTTTGTAGAGCTTTTTATTGGTTCTTATTTAACTCGCACGACAGATTCGGAACCTTGAATTCTCACTCGGCATCAACAGTTTTATATATTGATGTAATAGTGAAAGACAACATGTATGGTCTTGAGTACGGCCCAACAAGCACAGATGTTGAGAAAAGTACTGAAGAAAACTCAAATGTCAAAATAAAAATAAGCTGGAATGTGGATACAATTAAGGACATGGTCATGAATACAGTAGCAGATTCAATATGAAGAATACGTGTTAGACGCACGCTCAAAGAAACCTGTTGCATCTATATTCATGCAAATTACTTCGCAGAACCCAGCGCTGCAGTCTCGGGTGCGAGTTCGCTGAATGAGTCCACTGAAAATGAGTGCAGACGGAAAAAGCAGTTTGATCTGCGACAATGAGCATTACATAGGCAAGTGACATGTCATTGTTACTGTTAGAGTGCCGAATGTTTCAAACTGCCAGTCGCATCATTCTGGAATTCCATCCGTATATTACAGGGTTTGGCTCTCTCGAATGCTTTGCGAGAAAAAAATTATCAACTGGAAATGTCTAGCGTAGTTCTAGAAAAACTACTTCCAGAATCCTAACTCAGCATCGTAAGGAATATAAAAAGTTTCTAGATATAAGGTTAGTGCAGGAGTTGAATAAACTAAATACTTAGTTTTGCGAAACCATCTTGCCGTAGTAAACGTATAAAGTTCCCCTAGGTAGAGCTAGTCATTACGGATGATTGTGCCCATTGCATACTATAAAAATTTAATTTGCGACCTACAATATTTACAGACTCAACCAACTCTGAATAAGTGGAACACTTGGCACTAAAGATTGGTCTCACCATGACTGTCTGCAAACATCCACATAATAATTTCCATAAACCTATGCATTTCAAGAAAATATTTGGAGCGAGCTGTTTAAACTGCCTTAACACTTTTTAACACTAATAGAAAGCCTGTAGTGGGCCACAACTTAAGCAGTTTTTACTTCATTCTGAAGGGCGATAACAAATATATGAAGCTTAAAACTAGGCCTGCACTGAATTGCTTTCTTAAGTTGAACGTGCTATGCTCGGTTCAATATATTAACTTTGCAGAGCTGACAATGTGCAAGTTCCCATTTTTTTATATTTCAAATCTCCCGACTGCTGGGTGGGGTAGGTACATAAGATTGATGACACCAACGTAACACAAAGATTATTTTAAGAATTTGTTTGGGTATAGCACTAGCGAAGCCATCTGCGGGAAGTTATTTCTGTGACTACGTCGAACCTACATCCGTGGGCTTTAAGTTCACATGTGAATCATGTCTGCAGACGCCTTTTTGTAATTGGAACTCCATCCAACCCGAGATTTGAATGTTTTTTGCATTTTAGGCTTAGCAGTGCTTTTGCTGTTTCACTTCAAGAATAGGTAAGAATGCTTATTTCGAGTAGCATACCTAACACTTGGTGGCATGAGCACTCCCTTGTCGTGATGCTAATCGAAAGTCACAAGCAGGGAGATACTGTGATGCTCTTGTTGCTGGGATTACCTCCCCCATGGTCCTGGCCGGACCACAGAAGATTGAGTCCAAGCTTGTGGCCACTAGGATCTCCAGATCTTGAGGCAACCAAGTAGCTGGAAATAAAAACAAATCACAATCACATACTTGGCAGAGCTACATTAGAATGGCTAGCATATTCTTTCGTGATCAGCACATAGATCCTTTTGTTTTTATACTTTGTATGTGCACCTATTAAAAAACTGCTCCTTCACAGCCACAGTCATAGACACACCCCAGGACAAGGCCACAGAGGCCTTGAAATGATGGGTACCGAATTAAGGCGAATGATCAAATGCATTCATTTAACCCCCTTTCACCCCAACCTGGGAGATTTCTGTCAAATATTCACATTTAACTCTAAAGACTATAAAAAAAACTACTACTGCAATGCAGAGCCGTATAGTGGGAGAGTTTAACCAGTGGGTGTGGTGACAAAGGTGCCGGAGAGGAGGAAAGGGAGGAGAGCGCCGAAGGAGGGAGAGAAAAGGCAGCAAAAAGGAGACGACCGCTATTTTGACGCAACGCTGTCGTCTGCTACTGGCTTAATTCATTTTTGCCTTTATAAAACTTTGCGTTTAAACATGAAGAAACTTCTTTCTTTAGGTTCTTAAGCCACCGAGGAATAACACTATTATTTTATTGCCAAAGCCTGCCAAATAAAAGCAAAGGGCAGGTGTCTGGATAGAAAGAGTTTAGTTGGCGCACCAAGAGGCTAACCAATAAAAATGGGTACCACTCTGCGCAAAATGCCTAAAAAGCGTGCATCTCTACTTGACACTAACAGCGGCATACACTATCTATTTTACTGACTAAAGGGTACTAGATCATTATTTTCAGCTAACTAGTCAAACTAGATATTCTTGCCGACTTGCTTTTTAGAAAAATTTTTAAATTTACAACAACTATTAAGACAACGGCTAAAAAAAAGCAATGGCAAAACCAACAATCGAATTCGCCTGCTCTCCAGTAGCACGACATCTATAGAAGGCAGACCTGCAGAATGAGCAAGCAGTCTAAAAAAGAGTATGTCCCATGTATAATTTGTTTCCATGCTGCAAAGCAAGTGCTGGAAAGAGGTTTCACGACATTAACAAAATTTCTTGCAATCAGTTGAGAACAAGTTAGAGCAGTGAACTTGTCCTTGCCCTTGGCATAACGTCTTAGTGTTGCCCATGGAAACTCAAATAAATTTGTAAATAAAAACAAAAAAGACTAACCTTTATAAAAAAAATCTAACTTTCGCAAAAGAAAAGTTATCTTGAACAAAATATGCGGGATACCATAGTTGGACGCCATGGTACGTCGAGCTTATAATCATGTGTCACACTGTTTTTGCTGCGATGGCTTGTAGTGTCAAAAGTGGTCCAGCTTAAACAGATGCAAAGTATAGACGTTTGTGAGTGGGGCCCTGACCTAGTCTTGAGCTACATTGCAAGGAAGGACGTTTCAACCGAGATGTTTGCTGCCTGTACCCCCACAACCAGCTTGTGGACAGCGATTGCTCGAGCCGAGTACATGTCCTCGACAGTGCCATTATTTGACAAGCAGTTTTATGAATGTTAAACATGACTGACTTACAGAGAGACTGCATCTCAACGACTAATGACTTGGGATACCTAACTGAATACTGATATATTAACTGAATGCAAAACAAATTACCTGGCAGGCATTAAATTTATCAACAAGGTGGGTCGACTCCACATTAAGTTGGAGTCGATGCGTCAGGCACGTAGCCAGGATTTTGTTTCAGGGGGGGCCCACTCATAACAAAATGCTGTATGAGGGGGAGGGGGGAGAGGAGGACCCATGCAAAGTGGAAGATATCGGGGGGGGAGGGGCCGGGCCTCATAAGCCTCCCCCTGGCTACGTGCCTGCGATGCGTAATAGGACAATACAAACAAAGATATGCCTTACAATTCCTTTTGCACCCCCAAAATGATGTGTTTTTGAAGGTAAGATACACAATGTTCTTGATTCAGAAAGTGCCTCAGCTGTACAAATGCATATGCAGTAAAGGCACTCGCCAAGCCTATTCTCCTCAGCTCTGTGCAGGTTAAGCTAAGTTAGAGTATAGAGGTACACGCTCACTGACAGCATGAGGAAGGCAGGGAGAAGTCTCCGTTGTTCCACCACCAGCCCGTCTGCTACCTTCGATGACGTTTCAGCGCCTCATGAGCCTGGAGCAAGCACATCTGTCCAAAGTGGGGTGAAGTGCACAAGCACGTGCTGGAGGACGCCCAGCCATTCTCTTTTTGTCATCGGCTATTCTACATATTTTAGTATGCCATATTTTTAAGTGAGAAAAAGTATTGCAAATATGCAGTCCAACTTTGACCATAATACAGAAGTCTGATAAAGATAACAGTTGCCATTCACCATTTTCCAAATAAGTGGTCCCATGTATTGGAACATCTACACATGTGGTGCGTGAGTGGGTTCAGGACTGAGACGCTAGAAAACGAGGCGCTCACAAGGCTTGTCTGGCCCTTCCAACCATGCGGGTACATTCATCGCAAATCCCCGATTTTTAGACAAAATGATTTAGAATGAGCAAATCTTGCCTACGCCCGAGGTAGAACATTGAATTGTGATTCCCCCATATTGTGCCAACCATCCTTCAACCTGCGGTACCACCTGCAAATGAACTATGTTGCGCTGCGGCACGCGTCCATGCTGCCTGCTTCAGGGAAAACCACTGCTCGTGTTGAAGACGACATCCCACAGTGTACAGGCAACAATCTTTAACGAACTAAAACAAAATTGATATCATTCAATAGACACAGATAGGCTCACAAAGTGTCGACACCATGATTGTTGTTGTTGGTTTTACTCTTGCATACAAACAAAAGTGACTTCCTCTTTCCTCCGATGTACAGTAAAACCCCCTTATCTTCGTGGCCCCTATTTCTTCTCGAATCGGTCACAGAGGACATAATCGCAGCCACTGAATTCTGCAAAATTAAAGGCCGCGAAAATTAAAGGTTCGCCAACATTAGAGTTTACTGTTCTTCCGTGCGTCACATGATGTTAACATTTCAAGGAGGCTGAAGGTATTGGCTTAAGAAAAAATTGACCTATGAAAAAAAATGCCCTTCTCCAGGTTAGGCACACGAGGTTCTTTTGCACTACTTATAAGGCGGCAAGTTTGTTTCGGCAGAGCTTTTGGTTAAACGGAGTCACAAAAGTAGCTATACTTGGAGTCAACTATTTTGTGCTGCATTATAAAGCTAGAGTAAATTCCACTGTGCTTCTGCACAGCACTGTTTGTTGCGAGAGCATATGTGGTTTAGTGTTGCATCCCATTTGCATGATCTAGAGAAACTAGCGCTGACAGAGTTGGAGCACTCAAAAAAAAAAAAAAAAAACAGCCGACTGTGGAAACATTGAGAGATGCACACATGCGAACTGTGCATTTCTTAAAAGTGGATTCAAGCAAAGGTAAAGACAATATGTATACTAACGGCGGCCATACTTGCCTTTCCCAAGCATGACCACTTTTCCCTCGGTAGCACCATCCAGTAAGCACCAGCAACACGCCCATGAGACGCCGCGGACTCTTGGATTGAATGACGACCCGCCTGAGGTCTTGGAAGGAGATCCGGAACGCTGCTTTAGGCCAGATGTTGTATCTGGAGGGGGCAGGGACTAAAAGTAAAAATTAACAAATTTATCTGAAGCGCTACATTCCTATAGCATAAACTCTAGGATAGCAGTATTTTTTTTTGAGGTCAGTGATGCATTTTAATTAAACACAAATGGTTGGTTTATATGATGAACCAACAGCCCCTATTTTCCTTAAGTGTAACGGAGTGTCTAACGTTACGTCCGACGTAACCCGAAATAAAAATTAAAGTTACCGTATTTACTCGAAAATAGGTCGAACCCTATTTATTAAATCCACCAAGAACAAAAAAAAAGAAAAAAAAATTCAAATATAGGTCGATCTTTTTTTTATTTATAAGAACAGGGGAAATTTTGGGCAAAAGAAAGAAAAAAACCTTTATTTACATCACTCTCAGCTAAATCACGGTGCGATGCCAAAATCTTCATCACCTTCAGAACTTCTGGACATGTTATCATCGTCCGAAGCTTCGTCAGCTGGGTAGACATCCTCGCAAATTCGCAGCAATACTTCACTGACACCGTTGTAAAATGACGACAAGAAACGAAAAAAGGTGCGAAGCGACGGAAGACAAACTACAAAGACGCAAGCAAAGCCGCCGTGTCGCCATGAGCAACACGCGAGCCGAGCCGCCTCAAGCAACTAACAAAAATAACTTTTTTTCTTATTTTTTTTTGCGCGTTTGCGAGGATGGAGGGTAAAGTGCATGGCGCATCGCGTTCCTCTCCTTCCCCGTTGCCCAGCAAGGGGAACGCTAGAGGCGCGATGTCGAAATCCGACGCCGGAGCGGTGCGCGCGAAAGCGGCACTGGCCACCGGGGGCGGCGAGCCATTTCGGCAACCAAAAGCTTTTCGAAACAAAAAGCGGCGCGGCCCTACGGCAACGCCGGCTCGGTGACTCGATAGCTTCATGCCTCCGGTAGGGTCGCAAAATTTGTCGGTCGCGAATGTAGGTGTCGAAATTCTTTAGTCACAATTTCCGAGAAGAAAAAAAAAAAAATGGTCGACTTATATTCGAATAAACACGGTGGTCAGCCGCGCGACGAGACACGCATTATGAAAGCGATTGGTGCGAGCGACCAAGGCGATGAGCGACGTTTTCTAGAAGCCCAAGAACCGAGCGGCGCAAGCGGCGAGAGTGAGAAATCTCCGGCTCTCGTAGCTTCTCGCCGTCGCTCGTCTCTTTGATCGCTATATTGCTAACATGCCGTTCAGAAAGGCGCTCTAAGTGCTTACCATTGCATTGGGACCAGCCTCGCATCCAACCGTAACCAGTATTGACTTTCTTTAAAGCCGCACAGGTAGAAGTTAACATCGTACATACA